AAGGCGTATTGTACATTGTGTTGTATGTTTTGTGTTTACTTTCTGCAGTAAAAAAAAAACACTTTCAAGGGAAAATCATCATTATCACTGTGGAGTTCAGTGTGGTCCAGACAGCCTGCCTGGTTGAAGAGGCCAGTGAATGTTTGTCACTTAAATGTATCCAGAATGGTTTAAGAAGCAAATAATAAAGCAAAAACAGCTTTGAATAGTATCTTTAAACTTGGATTATTGACTTAGATTTCCTTTTGTTCGACTAAACATATGAGGAAAGTAAAACAACTAGCTCAGTGTAAATTGTGTGTGTTTATGATGAGTGCTTGCCTCTGGTTGGAAGGAAAACAACGTAGCTGAGAGCTGTGTAATGAGCGGTTCTGGTCCTGCAGCATCTGCAAGTGGTGTAGAACCCAACAGGAGCAAGGCAGCTTTCTGCAGAAGGGATGTATTGGTAGGACCGCAAGCAGGCAGAATGCCTGTCTGACTGAAAGGTGATGGAGATCACGACCTCCCACTGGCAGAAACACATCTGGGCTTGTTTAGAAATCCCTGCTGGCTTTTCATGTGAAATAAAGTCTTTTTCATTCTCCCATCTTTCAGCAAATTGTTTCCTTACTCAGAATGGACACTGGAGAACAGGAAACATGTTTGTAATCAAAAAAATTCCTACAAAATCTGGGTTGTTTTCAGTGTCTAATGTAGGCTTTTGTTTATATTGCTTTATTGCTTGTCATTTACCTGTTTGGCATTGTTTGCATTGTATATATGTATGTATTTAGCTGGCAGTAAACCCAGCTACAACCTGAGATTTTTCTTAATTTTTTTCCAAAGTTTGGGGAATGCAGTTACCTGAAAGTAGATTTATTAACAAATTATTTTTATTTCCTTATCCTACTGTAAGTACATACTTAGTGGAAGCATATTTATTGAACATTATTTTCAATATGTTCTTTTGTCATTCTCTCAGTGAGGGGAAATCTCTCTTCATCCTGTCTGCCTTCTATCTGCCAAGAGACAACCTTTAGACGCTTTCATGTTAGCAGGGAAAAATGGATTTATTTTTTTTTAAAGGAAGTTTAACTGAAGTTTCCACTAAAATTCAATGTCATTTACTGCTAGCCTTATCTTCCCTAATCACATCTAGGAGAGAAAAGTGGATTAAATGTACTTTGCTATTTCTAAATGTAGTCTGTTTTTCTAAACAGCATCTTTTTCTAAATTCAGTAGTATGTTTTTTCTAAACAGACTAAATATACTTTTGCAGCTAGATTCAGATGTGCACTTCTTTGTCTGATGTCTGATGAGGGAAAATTATTCTGAAAAAATGGTTTAATTATTCAACTTTTGTTCACAGTTTTAAACAGAAAACATCCAAACTGTTGACTGTAGAAACCAGTATCTGTCAACAGTTGCTGAATTCAGTATCATAAATGCAGTATCTTTGATAGGAAATCTGTGATTATGTAATGTACAGCTCTATAAATTTAACATCTTAATTATCTGCTATTGGTGAAACTCTGTAAGTTCTTACCAGTGCAGTGTGTGGTTGAGTGTTACTGCGATCTATCACTGGACTATGAAATTGAGAAATTTGTAAAGTGCTCTGGTTTTGTGGCATTGTCTTTCTGCTTTTACTCATTAGAACTTAATCTCTTCTTTCTTTCTTTGATTCTTTCTTTTTTTTTTTTCCTATCACTGACATAGAATGCTACCTCATTACTCAGAACTATTTCTTCGGGATTATTTTCTCTTTTCCACTTTATCACAGCAAAGAATCTTCTAAATGCGTTGAAGTTTGATTTTGCAGTTAGCTTTCTTTTTTATAGCTGTCCAGCCTGAGTATTAAAAAGCTAGGTGGATGAACTGTCTCAGTTTTGTCTGGGATGTGATTTGTATTTTGTGACATTCTTCCTCATTTGATTGCTTTATTTTATGTGGGATTAAGACATAAGTCTTAAACTACTGTTCTTTTTTTTTTTTTTTTTTTCCATCCCAGGAAGAATCACAGAACTAAACAGCAATGCATTATGTAAAACTTTTAAATAATAACAGATAGATAAATGGAGAGACTTTTTTAAAATATTTTAAATAAAGGTTAAAGGTCACTCAGGGTAAGAGTTCATAGTTTTGGAATATTAGAGAACAAAAATGTATTTATTTTCTTAAAAAGCATTTTAAAGTTTTTGCGGTCATAGTGCTCCCTCTCCCTGGATTTTACATAATACTGATGATCTTGGTGATAGCCTAAGACCCAAATCTGTAGTCTTGTTAGTTTTGCCAATAGCGTCCACATGACATAGTGCTTTGTTAGGGGGAAACAGACCAAGCTGTCTGTTGATAAAAACATAACATTGACCTGTATGGTGAATACAATTCTGGATTTCATTTGGATTATTTAAATCAAGTTGATTATTTTTCATCTTTGTGAGTGTATGAGTCCCGTTTAAATTTATCTCTTGTGCAAGATCATAACTGGAACCTTTTAGCACAAGAGCTTATGTTGTGTATTGTAAGCGATAAAAGTAACATTGTTCTAAGCATTTTCATTCCTCAGTTTTGGATGGATTTCTTTTTGCATTCTTGGTTTTTAGGGATTTAACAAGAAGACAACAAGGTGTGATCAAAGCTCAGTTAAAATATAACTCCTATATTTTGTAAGAAAAACCAGATTTTAATTAAAAAAAATATATCTCTGTGGTATACAGAGAAATACGATTATTGTTCTTACAGGCAAGGGTAAATGTTTTGCTATAATGTTTGCTTGATGAATTCTTGATAAAGTAGATTAGATGGCAAATATTATTGTCAAAGTTCTGAAGTAACTGTTGAAGAGAGTTTTATTCTCCCTTTATAATAAAGGCTGAGAAATCAGAATTTTTCCACTGTTGGTTATGAAAATGATTAAAATCTTATATTTTTACTAACCATATCCTGGATACAGAAAGATGCTTTTGCCGATATATCTCTTTCTTCTTTTAAGAACTTGCATGCCACAAGAGTCAGTTTTATTATTCTATTGTTATATCTTTAACCTTCAATTGTGTTAAATAGTTGGAGCTACTTCTAAAGCTCTTTTCATTCTCCTGTTGATTTTGGTAAGACTGTCGTGTCACCTTTATATCGAGATCGTTCAACCCTCCAAGCCCTACTTATCCAAGCACTAATGTTGCTGTTGATTTGACTGAAAGTTTTAATGTGAAAGTTTTTAGAAATTCAATACTTGTATTTTGGCTTTAGCAGAAATCTCCTTTGAATAATTTTAGTGTGAGGAACGGGTAAAAGAATAGATGTAGACCAGGGACTCAGGAACGAGAACCAACCATGAATTATGTTTCCCTGATAAGCTAGAAACATTTGGAAATACACTGAGGAGAAACAGGTTGTATTAGCTTTAACCAGTGTGTAAGAGAGACTCAGTACAGCTCAGACCGCAAAGAATGTTTCTTCGGATTGCCAGCATGTCTCAAATCTCACGCTTTTAAGCAAGGTTAGTTCCTTATCCACATCCACTGCCAGTATATGGCTATTAGAGCTTGTGGTTAAAGAGATGTTGGGTATCTTTAGAAATGTAAAATATGTGAGTGTCCATAAGAAATGTGTTGATTGCAACATCTGTCATGTAGTAGTTAGGCCATTCACAGTTTGAACAGGATTGAGTTTAACCCACTAAGAGTGTAAAGTGTCAAGTCGCATTATCAGTGGTTTTTTTTGTTTGATAGTTTGTTCGTTTTACTGTGTTTTGAGTTACTGCAGGTTTCAGGTTTTGTTACCTCTTCAGTGTACTCAGAGCTGTCACAGTGCTCAAGAATATGCTTCGCTTGGTTGTAGTGAGTCTGTATTTCTATCACCGATGCATTTGAATTCCTGTTGATAAATAATGCTATTTGTGATTGTTGTTGATAAGATTATTGTTAAGTAATAAGATTATTATTGATTATTGTTGTTGATAAGTAATAAGGTTATTGTCGATAAGTAACGCTATCTCAGAGATCACTGAAAGACTAAACCTAGGAAAGAAAAGCCTTATTCTATATATTGCACTGCTGGTGATTCTTATCTGACTGGAGATTGACTTGCATTGTGGAAAAGTGGTAGAAATAAGTGTTTTGCTGGGTTTTGTAGACACATGCAAGTATTACTTGGAAAATCAGAGACCTACAAAGTAAGGGTTTTTTACTCTTTGATGTTGCTTAAAGTTTGAAGACTCAACCTATACACAGCTATGACTGGAAGATTCTGATGAATCTGGTTAACACGCAACTTTTAATCTCTCATTGTGTCTGCTTTTAGGTGACAATGGCAAGATCATTTTACGTCTTCGGCTTTTACACCACTAGCAGATACTCTAGACTGTTTTAGACTTGTTTCCTTATTCTGTCAGTCTGTATACATACAAGTTTGTAGCCTATCTGCTTGATGAGTAAGTTTGTGTGCTTTGAATGGGAATATGTGTTAGAAAGCAAGAATCTTAGTTTCCACATGAAATGAGGAATTAAATGAAGAACTTTTTGAGTTGATAATGTTATTAGCTATATCTGTTTTATCGGTATTTGTACTTTATAAATTATTTTACTTCTTGTTAGTGACTATCATCCTGCCATATACTCCTCCGTTGGCTCTCTTCTTTCCTACCTACATAGGTATTTTCACTTTGTGCATTTTAAAGAAGGCACTGAAAGCTTACTTGGAGAAGCTTTAGTGGAATGGTTTTCAATTATTTTAATCTATCAAAGTAGCAGATGAAAATAAGAATGCATTTAAAAAATGCTCTTTCTCATTTTTGACTCCACTTGCTCAGAGGCATTGAAGAAGTTAGATGCAAATGTGTTACTTCCGGCTCTTTGAAAGAAACAAGCAATGGGCACAGTGACTTTCATATTTGTTCCATTTGTACGTCTGACTGCAAGCCAGTAAAATGATGTTAACTTAACAGCATATTCTAATGTGTATCTGAGTACTGTACTGTGACCTTTTTATATTCAGTAACAGTGCGCTATTTATTGCAGGATGATGTGATGATGCCACAGCGGGTTAGACTGCAGTACGAAGCTGCCATTCAACACCCAAACAGTGTGAGTACTTTCTTGTGTGTGTTTGTGCTTTTTTTTTTTTTTTCTTTTACAGAGTGCCGGATACATCTTTAAAAGGATATGAAAATTTCACAGTAGGTCTGGTGGAGGCAGAGCAATACACAGTGTATTCTTTTCCTTTATTTTTAATCCTTGCACTGAATAGTAGCTTTGATTGAACTTCTTTTCCTTTATTTTTCGCTGTGTAGTAAACCAAATGTCATTATGACTGTGGTACCCTTTCTCAAATAAGTATACAGGTTTTCTTAGTGTATATAACTTAAAGGAGAATGCCTTTTTGATATAGCTCTCCAAGGTAATGTGAAAAGCTACAAAGGATCAGTTACAAGAATGGTCTAACTGTTTGAAATATTTAAGAAACTGTAAGGAATGCGTGTGTTATCATTAATAAACTGGCCTACAGTTAAATCAATGTTTTTCCCTGGTGTCTGCAAAAGAAAACATTATTAAGTCGGATGCCATTATTTATTCTTGTGACATGAACTATCAAAGGCAATCTATGAAAGAGTCGTTTTATGATCTGTCTGATCATGATGTTAAATCAATTTCTGTGATTAAGTCAAGTATCCCTTGGAGAGAATTTGTATGTATGTACTCTTTACCTGAAAATAATAAACCAAAATAATTTTCTATGACAGTTACTTTTTGTCAATATTACTGACATATACATTCCTTTATAAATCTGAAAACTGAGTTTGTACTCCTATCAACAATGTTTGGCAAAAATTGGTATAAATGAAATAAATCTCGTAAGAGAAAATGTCAGAGGTGTTAAAACTGTGTGCCAGAGGTTTTTGGTAAAGAAAGGGTATTTGACTTGGTCTGTGAAGAAGATATTTCCTGCAGTTCTTGGAACAAAATGGACGGTTTGAAGATTATCACTGTCTGGGAGTTAAACACCATTTGAACTTTTCCTCCCCAAAACACTGACTTCAAAGAAGAGATTATTGCGGTTGTTTCAGGAATCCCTGCCAAACAACCTGCTGCTTACTGGTAGGATGTGTACCTGCTCATCGCAACACCTGTGCTAGGTCTCTGATGAAATCTGATAATCCTTACAATGTAATTTATGAAATTATAGTTTTAGTAGCACCTGAGTAGCAGTTAACCTAGTTCATATTATGAACATTAATAAAAAGATACATGGAAAGTTGTTTTTGTTCTGATATGAATCAGTTAATGTAATTCTGTAGTAAAATGCCAAGGAACCGGAGAGGCAAGTTGAGCCAGTTAGCTTGCTCTGTGGAGACCAGTGTTAGGAGCTATCGTATTTCTTGCTTGTATGACTTCTGTATCTGTCTATTGAGACTTTTTTAATTAGACTAATTTCAACTAAACAGTTTGTAGGCTATTTAAAAAACACTTCAACTGTTTTGTTTATATTCTGATATAATTTAGTGTCTAACAACATTAGGTATGAGCCATTAAGTGGCAATTAAATAAATAGTAATGAGTGCCTGAACAGACTGAAGGGTATGTCTCCATGATATATTCCAACCAACACAAACTTGTTCTTCCTAGGCTCTAAGCTCTTCTAAAGCTGTGGTCCCGTTTTAGGGTGGTACTACTTGTCTATTTACAAAGCTTAACTTGTGCTTTGCACTTCTCTAAATAAAATTGTCTGGAGTCAGTTTGACTTAGTATGGGAAATCCGGGTTTCCACTTTTCAGTTATCTGACATTAATACAGAAAATATTCAATTCAGAGAAATGTAAAAAAAATATCTCTCAAATGAATGGAAAAAAAGGCCTGAGATCTTAAGAAAAATGATAGGATGTGTGTGCTCCTTATATGTCATAGATGTAGCATGTGTAGAAAGAGATGCCTATGTGAAGAATCCCTTCTGGGTTAATACTGTGTATTCCAGAACTCTAATTGAAAGGCCTGAAAGGAAAAATGGGAACATCTCCAGCTGCTCCTAAGGCGTAAATGTATCAGTTTGGTCCAGAGACCCCCCTATAGTTCTGACACAACTTCATCTATCGTAAGAAAATAAGTGAGAACCTATCCACAAATACACATACCAATGTCAGGGTGCTCTGCTATTCTTTACAAAGTGATCTCTCTTCTGCCTTCAGAATCATCACACCATTCAATTTTCTGGCTTTTGAAGATGTTTGGGGAGGTTTGAATAAGGTTCTGTTCCGTTTTTGAGGTTCTGACTGTAGCGTAGTGGAGGGGCAGTGGAAAGCAGAAGCTTAAGAAATGCCTGTGAAGCAATGAGCTTTTTTGGTTTGTTCCTGAAATTCGAATTTGCAGACTTGGACTTTCCAGTATTTTGCAACTTTTCCTGACCTGGATTTATAGTTTAATTTTGACTTAATGTAGTCTCAATGTACTTCCAGACATTTTGTTTCTATTCCTAGCCATGCAAGTTGTTACCGAATGCCAGATTTGGGGACTAGTATTCCCAGTAGCTTCTAATATTGTAGGTTTTAGTCTACTGAAACCTATTGTTACTAACATAGATATACAGGTAAGAAAAATCTCCAGGTTTCTCCACCAAGAGGAACTTTCTTCCAGAACCTAACTAATCCCTGAGGTTCTTCCTCATCCATGTTATTGTGAAGTGTAGATAGACTGCCTTACCCTGACTTGAAGTGTGGTCAATAAACAGTGGCACCAAAGATTCTGGATGCCTTTGGAATGACTCCTCAGCTGGGTGTTCTTCAAAGAAAGTGGTGTCTTGGCTTGCTCCCAGGATCAGGTAGTGGAGTTAACTGGAGTAACACTGCAGAAGCTCTTAGCTTTATCAGTCTAATTTCCTGTGTTGTGGACTACTTAATCAAGCTTTGAAAAAGCCAGAACAAAAGTTCCGCTCAACTCTCTTGAGCTTTTCTTATCTTGAGGACTTTCAAAAAAAGAAAAAATCCTGTACGACAGAGTTATCCTGTTGTTGGTAACATTCACAGTAGAGGGTTTGGGATCTGAAAATGCAAATTACATTCAGTAAAATCACGTTGTATTAGTAGCTCTCTAGAACCACTGTCATCTCAACCTCTGGTGAATATACAAATATATTACATTATGTCTAGGTCCTGTTGACAGGGATTCTATAAATAGGACACCCTCAGAGGATACAAGTTTTTGAGGCTATTGATAATACAATAGCTACCAACCTTTTGGCTCTACTTGTCTAGTGCAGATGTGCACTTATGCAGCATATGCATGTGCCTTCAAATTGCTTATGCTCTTATCAGATAATGAATGACTTTGTTACTAGATAATGAATGATTGTGTTACTAAAATTTCTCACTCTAGTTTTTAGCAGCATCTATTCTATTTACTGCTCTTGTCCCATTTATTCAGGATTAGCCATCACAAATCATGTATGTTTTATTGGCAGCTAGTAAGTGAAAAGACTCAAATCACATTTCCACTGTTTCTGAGAAATTCACACCTTCCTATTTTATTTTACTTCTGGAGAAGGTCTGATGTTGTGTATATACTAGAGTTCTATTAAAAAAGGCTTTTGAATTTGGAGTAGCCCAGGAAATGTACTCTTCCAAAGTTGTTGCCGAAACCACAAGCGCAGACGTGAACGATGAAGTCTTTCACACCTATGGTCCACATACATTCTGTTATTGAATTTGGGCCAAGTATTGTATTGGGCAAAGTGTCCTTTAAGAATTCCTAGGGCTTTTTATTTCAAAGACAGGTGAGATTTCTGCCTGCATCTGCTCCCAGTCTGTCTTGTTGCAGAGTGTCTGCATCAGAACCTGCTCTGGGCATGCCAGGGTGAAATCGGTGGATGTGCTTTGAATATGTTCTTGGAGAGCTTGAACGGTGTTATAAAACTTTTCTGGAAAGTTCTTCGTCCATATTGTAGGTACTTGACCACAGTTTGCCAACTACTCTACCACTTGTGGAGGCTTCTAAGAATGATGTGGCCCTGAGTACTCTTCCAGTGTTGAAGTTTTCCTAAGGATTCCAGGTAGTGGATGGAACAAAAAGGGGTGCTAAAAGGAGATGTACTGTTTACAGTCAAAATCAATTGACCTTCTCATCTATCTTAGAGCCATACTGAATGGTTTTTGAACACCACATTGTTGTCTTGGCATGGTGAAGTGTTTACTCTTCCTCTCATCAGTGTTTAATTTGGGAATATGTGTGCCCTCACAATATGACTACATATGAACAGTATACAGCGTCCAATCTTTGTATCTTTCTTTCTGCAGAATTGCTTAGAAAATTAACAAGCTCTTCCTCACTTCCTTGTCTTCCCAACAGCTGGCATCACAGTCTTGGTTATTTCCTTTTCTTTTCAGTGGCTGAATAAGAGGTGGATTTGTACAAGTGTCAGAGTGAACACCTTTCTTTTGTTTTAAAATTGCTAGCCTCTTTCCCAAACATACAGGATATTTAGGCATGTGAGAACATTGAGATACTGTTTGCATTTTTTTCAATGAGAAATTCTCACTGTTTTGCATCTCTAAAGCAAATACTTGGCGTATGCTGTAGCTTGGATTTAGGTCAAGAACTGTAACGCCTCAGGCAATTTTGACCTATTGCATTGAATCTGTTAAACAACTGACTAAATTGTACATATCTTTGGTTAATGTGACCCTCAGGTAGTCGATTGGATTGAGCAAACTGGAGCAGTGCCTGACGTGCTGCTAGTTCGCAGACCTGCTCATCTGCCCCAGGGAAGCAGTAAACAAATACTGTGCAGTCAACAAATAAATAAGGTAGTGGAGCTTGATCCTGTCTTTAAGGCACAACTTCAGGCCTGTCTTCCTCCCTACCCCCTCTGAACATCCAAAATTAACTAAACTTAGAAATGAAGTCTTATTTTCTTTTCTTATTTTCTCATTGAAAGTTATGTTCTAGTAGATTCGTTTTTTTTGTATTGTTATTGTACCCTGCCGTTCTGCTTGCCTAGACCTGTTGTATAGTTCTATTACATGTTTGAAAGACAGTGTTTTTTCTCTTCTCCATTTTCTTTACCTGTTCCTTATTTAGCACTGTGCATCTGGTTAGAG